CCCGCATATTTGGACATAGCGCTTTTGTATGAATTTTTTCTGCTTGCTTTTTAATATGTTAAAAACATTGCTGGGAAACCTTAAAATGTTTGCATGGAACCATGTCGCAATAAACAGATGAATTAATAAAACGGCTTTCTCGCTTTATTTTCTGACATTCGGCTGCCTTATAGTCACATTTTATAGGCAAATTTTCAAATAAAGCAGTGGCATCTGGTAAATTCCACTCTGGGTGGGATGCATGCAATAACACCATACACAATAATTCCCATTACTTGGACATTAAAAAGCAGTTTCAGAAGTGAACTAGTGTTATTTTATCAGTTTTCCTTTTTCTAAACTGTTATAATGCCACCAGTACATAATTGCGAAAGGAGAGGAGGGGCGGGAGACGCGAGCGCGACGTCGAACGCGGCGCAGGGCGGCGCGCGAACGCGGACCGCCGCGACGCCGGGCACTTCCAAAATTGTATACTTACAAATCCGTACATTTAACTTGTTCATGTACTACTTTTTGTCAAATGTAACTGGGTGACTACCTACATATGTGCACTATTTTGCTTTATTACTCAAATTGTTAAGTATAAAAGTTGGTCTTATTGCTCAACGAGAAATAAAGCAAATTTGTGTTATTTCACATTCAATTGGAAAATAACACAAATTTGCGTTATTGCCGTTTGTGTGATTAGGATTACCACCCATCTAAAAGTAAAGACTGAAAATATTGAAATTAAATGAAACATTACATAAATGGTTCCAAACGAAAAGTGTTTGGGAAAGCTTTACTAGGGAATTTTTTTTTAATCTTTCCACTTATCTAAAATCCGAACAGTTTAAATAAATTTAGAATTTGCAACATCTTATCAAACGAAGTGATCATATTATCAACGAAGAGCTGGTACACAAATTACTTAATGCAAAAAATTAATAAACAAGTAATTTTTAAGCAAAAAACCGTTCCGTTAATGATAGGATCTAAACCAAATTAGTATGGGATCACCTGGAAATCGGTTGACGTGGTCCAAAGTTATGCGGTAACATACATAAAAAAAAATCCGACGAATTGATAACCTTCTTCTTTTTTTTTAAGTCGGCTAAAAACTACTGAAACAAATAACCATATGATAAAAGTGTAACGAAAACAAAATACTAGTATTGTAAAAATTTAAACTCATTGTTTTGTAACTTAAAAAAAACGGAAGGAGAACTGATCGAAATAATGTTTCTTTATTAAGACAATTAATTATAGGAATCACGATTGGCTCAGTAAACGGGCTATTTTTTTCGCGAAGAATAAGGATATCTATCAATATGGTATTGACAACAGTCGTTGCTTGAGCTGATCTGCTCTTTTACCAGACTGACAGGCCAGGGAGACCCCATATACTGAAATTGAAAATAGGTGTGCCAATTATCATGTTGCGGAATATTAATCAGCCAAAACTTTGCAACGGCACGCTACTCGCATTTAAGAAATTGATGAAGAAAGTAGTGTAAGTAAAGATTTTAACGTGGCCTTTCAAAGGCGAAGAATTCCCATGATTCCGACCGATACACCATTTCAATTTAAAAGATTGCAATTCCCAATTCGATTGGCATTCGGAATCATAATCAATAATGCTCCAGGTCGAACTTTGGAAAAGTATCGTTTAGATTTAGGTACGGATTGCTTCTCAGATGTTGCGTGTTCCTGCGTCGGCAAACCAGATGTCCTTGATATTTATGCAGCGAATGGAAAAACGACAAATATTGTGTGCACACAAGTACTAATTACATAACCAAACACATAAAAAACGTATGCTTTGCTTCGTTAATAATTTATCATCCATATAACAGGAATATGCCACAGCAAAGCGTGGCAGGGTACAGCTAGTAAAATTAATAAAATAAAATAAGTTAAGCTTTCGTTAAAGTTAAGTTAGTTAGTTAAAAGCCAAATAGTGAAAGGAGTACTCAAACTCTAATGAAAATTACTAGCAATTTGTACTGATTTACTTCGATTTTAAATATGCTTGTCGGCGAATATGTTTACATGCAGATATGTAAATGCGGGTTCGCTTCTCGCGCGACAAACTTTTTCAAAAACGAAGCAAATCAGTACAAATTGTTAGTAATTTTCGTTAGAGTTTGAGTAACTCCTTTCACTATTTGGCTTTCGGTAACTTTAACGAAAGCTTAACTTATTTTATATTATTAATTTTATTGCAGTTTTTACAAAATTTTCTTACTAAAAAATCTTTTGTTACACTACTTTATTTTATTCTTTTGTTTGTATATGTTAAATAAAAGTTAATTTTAAAAAAATATTTTTTTGTACATTATTTTATTTATGTTTTGATTGTCATCATACGCATGGTACAAATATTTATAAGGTACAATCGCTGAGAGCCAACTTTAAGAATTTTGACGTTTGCTAGCATTTTGAAAATTTCTCTCGCCGTCATTTCGCATTTGTTTGTTTTTATTTTCAAAAAAACCAAAGAAATATATTTCTGTCGAAACAACAAAATTTGAATATACATACATATGTAAATAAATGAACGGAAGCAATTGTCTGTAATGGACTTCTGCCCGTATGTTAAGGCGAAGCTTTTGGCATGCATTTGAAGATATTTTACCTTAAGGGCACTGCACTTTTGCAAAGAACTATCTTGTGCTTACATTGGGTCAGGTAGTGTGGCCAAAAATGAGTCGAGCATACATAGGGGCACTTTGGCAAATCCGTTTTCATAACACCACAAATCTCGATCCATTTTTGCTGTATATACGATAGTTGCGGGAACTTGAGGATCTTTAGATTGCTTTGCTTGCAGAGGAAAAGGAATTTGGGCAGCCGTTAAAGCAGCAACTAATTTTTCGTTTCGAATTGTTTTAGTTTTCTCAACTTCTGAATAAATGAATAATTCAAATCATAAATTTTCATTTGTTTATTTTGAATTTCTTTGACATTAGAAGCATTTCGAGAGAGAAAACTCAAAATGCTAGCAAACATCAAAAAAAACACAATGGCGGACGAATTGAGCGAGAAGAAAAAATGTGTGAGCTTTTTTGATTTATAGAATCCCTAAACCACATTTTGAGCAAAGTGGAGGTGTTAAGGCGGATTCATCGTTCTAGTTCTGTACTTTTTCTTCATGGAAGAAAACTTCTGAAAGAAAACGATGGATCCTGCTTTAAACTGATACCAGATAAAACGCCTGCTTCGCTTTGACAGATAAGATGAAATGTGTGAACATGCACGTTTTTCTCTTTGCTGGAAAATTATAAATATCGCGCAAAGCCACAAAGATTTATCTGGCATCAGCTTTACTCAAATCTTTGCTTCGGTGCTAAAAAAGAATGCTAGTACATATTATTGGCAAATATACGTAAATTTTTTTAATTAAGGTAAGACTTACCCTATAATTCACAGTGATATTAACGGATTTAGTAACTTCGCTCTGTGCAAGGAGTCCTCGAATGAGCATTTGCAACTTGCGAGTCTCAAATGAAAAGTCCATATCATTCTGTACTATGCCGCTTTTCACATATGTTCGAACTGTACCAACAGCTCCGGTTATATTAACACCATTTATGGCAAGTAACATTTTTGGTTTATATACCAACACATTTCGTTCTTCCTTTCGCTTAAGTTCTATGCTAAAGTCGAGGCTTCGGTTTCCATTCGTGTCCAGTAAGAAATTAAACCGTCTGTAAATATTAGTTCCGATAAGTTGGCACATGGAAGAAACCTTACTGAGTCCATGAACGAATAAAAGGGAAGCATTTAAGATTTCAGGTTGAGTACTGACATTAGCAGTAATCGAACGTTCAAATGAAGATCCAGGCGTAAAGAAAAGAACAGCCCAGTTCGAGCCGTTACGATGTTGATCATATGTGTACTGAAACATCCAGTTTTTGGCTGTCAGGTCAGATTTTGCTAATGATACGCTGAAATTCATTGGACCACTCAGCAATAAGCCTGGATAAGTAATTTTTTTAGCATTATTTAAATTTGGAACACTGTAATCGAGGCACACTTTCAGCGCGGTAGCTGTTTCAAACAATGGCCATGTGCAGCTAGAATTCGATCTACGGCTTTTAATACCAGTTTGATATTCGTCGGCGCTCCGCGAAATTTTCAGCAATTCTGAGTGAACAGTAAAAATATCAGTAGCATTTTGGGGCAAACTTAATGAAAATGTAACCGACTTCTTCCCGCGAACTTTTAGTTCGCCTGCAACCTCGAAGTTCGTATACATAGTAGACTTCACTTTAACTCCAGACTGTGCATAGAACATATCAGAACTCATGCTTCCTACCATATCAACCAATATTGTAGGTTTAATCATACCTTTGATATCAAAATTCAAATCGGAAGAATCGGGATTTTTATAATCCAACTTGCATGATGTACGCAGATCAATAGATGATGCGCCGAATAAATCTATTGACAAAGGTAACCCTACTGCAAGAGGAATAACGTATGAAGCATCGAGGAACAGCTTTGATTTTGTGTATATTATTTCCTTTCCTGATAGAAATTCCGATAGTTGTTGTAAAACATCTAACTTCTTTGACAGTTCTGCATATTCGGGAATTCCATTTAAAGAGAAAAAATGTAAATCACTTCCAAAAATACGTGTTCCAAATTGAAACACTGGATTATTGTAGTCATATTTAAGTGTGTAACCTAAATGCTCAATGCTTTTGTGAAATAATGTTTTACGATCATTTACGTCTTTTATTGATATTGAATCATTCGAACTATATATTTTATATCCACAATTATCATGACCCATGGTATGATTCTCAAATGGCTTTCGTTTGAGAGCGGTTTTAGGATTGCATTGACTTCCAGTGTTGGTCGAACTTTTTGAAGCAGCTGTAAATCGTTTGTTTAGTAAACATTAATTTGTTTAATATATATGTATATAGTATATTAATCTCACCATCATTTTCTGTATTGTTTTTACTAAGCCAGTTGTAGATAATGTCAATTAAGGGATTTATTCCTCTCTTGCTAAATAAGCTGTACTGATTGAAAAATTTTTCAGGCTTAAAATTGGCAATGAATAATTGCTCAAAGCCCTCAGCTCTTGCTGTAATTTCAAATATGTTAACCGAATGTCCGAAAAGGTAGGTGGTTAAGTTCAGCGTCGCCATCCGTGGTAGATATGACTCAGTACCAAAAATTATATTCATGTCTGTGGTGGTGCCTTTAAATGAAATAGTTTCTTTTTATTTGTTTTTGTTATTTAATGGCCTTATAACAATTATATTAAACAATTTTTAATGAGATTGAGGCCGTTTTTAATGAAAAACTTATTGTGGAAAAGCAACAATAATGTGAAAAAATGGTAGAAGTGATAGTTATTTCGGAAATCACCACATTTCCTCATAAGACTTCTTTCAGTAGGATTCAAACCGACGATCCCACTGACTCAGCCAGTTGCCTACGCACTGTGCTAAGTTCGCCTTGTAAATTATTCTTGCTTTTTTCCACTCTTTCATTTGGTAAGCCAACCCAATCAAGCGCAGCTATTCCGCTGCAATTCACTTGATCATGTGGTTGTTGGTTTTTGCTAATAATTCTATTTTTAGAATGTTTAACTTTTAGGTGTGCTCGTCCTTAAGCTATTTGTTTTTGTTATTTTATGGCCTTATAACAATTATATTCAACAATTTTTAATGAGCTTGAGGCCGTTTTTAATGAAAAACTTATTGTAGAAAAGCAACAATATTGTGCAAAAATGGTAGAAGTGATAGCTATTTCGGAAATCACCACATTTCCTCATCAGACTCCTTTCAGTAGGATTCGAACCGACGATCACCACTGACTCAGCCAGTTGCCTACGCACTGTGCTAAGTTTGCCTTGTAAATTATTCTTGCTTTTTTCCACTCTTTCACTTGCTAAGCCAACACAATCAAGCGCAGCTATTCCGCTGCAACTCACTTGATCATGTGGTTGTTGGTTTTGTTGGTTTTTTCTAATAATTCCATTTTTAGAATGTTTAACTTTTGGGTGTGCTCGTCCTTAAGTTATTTGTTTTTGTTATTTTATGGCCTTATAACAATTATATTCAACAATTTTTAATGAGCTTGAGGCCTTTTTTAATAAAAAACTTATTGTGGAATAGCAACAATAATGTGAAAAAATGGTAGACGTGATAGCTATTTCAAAAATCACCACATTTCCTCATCAGACTTCTTTCAGCAGGATTCGGCCATAAAATAACACAACAAATAATTTAAAGACGAGCACACTTAAAAGTTAAACATTCGAGAAATAGAATTATTAGCAAAAACCAACAAAACCAACAACCACATGATCAACTGAATTGCAGCGGAATAGCTGCGCTTGACTATGCTGGCTTAGCAAATGAAAGAGTGGAAAAAAGCAAGAATAATTTACAAGGCGAACTTAGCACAGTGCGGAGGCAACTGGCTGAGTCAGTGGGATCGTCGGTTTGAATCCTACTGAAAGGAGTCTGATGAGGAAATGTGGTGATTTCCGAAATAGCTATCACTTCTACCATTTTTTCACAATATTGTTGCTTTTCTACTATAAGTTTTTCATTAAAAACGGCCTCAAGCTCATTAAAAATTGTTGAATATAATTGTTATAAGGTGTAACGTAGCTCCCCTACGCTACACTAACAGACATTTGTACGTACGTACATATCTACTTACATATATACAAACGTACATGCATACATACATACATACAACCATACATACATACATACAACCACACGCTGAATCTTCATTATACCCATACATCTATACGTATGGACAGTCAAAGCAAAGCATGCAAAACTACACAGCAACTGAAAGCACTCGTGCACGCCAACACTGCACGAGAATTCGCTGCGTAAGCATGCCAAATACTTGCAATATTCATTCGCTTCTCAACCTGCTTATTCAACATCCGACTTAAGTTGATTAACGCTAACTCAGCCACCACCAGCTTCCGTATGTAAGCACGGAGCGTATCGGGAGGCTTAGACCATAAAACACCGAGCGCCCCTGGCTGTTTCTACGGGAAAGGCCGAGAGGTTGGAGGGGTCTGTAAAAGGGGGAATACCCCTCGCACAGACCCCAAGCCCATGATTTTGCAAACGGTCTCAGTGGACAGGAGACAAACTCTCCTGCCCACTTAGAATACCGCGGAGCGAGCAGGCACTGTTCCCAGGCGGCTTAACACGCCCCAAAATGCCAAGCAGCCACGATTTAATACGTTAGAGGGGGTAATGGGCTGCCTTGCCGCCCTGGTGCCATACTAACCAGCTTCCGTAGCTTTTTCAGTTGACCGTTCGGACCGCCAACACTATCTGCCGCCCCTGGGCCAAAGTCACGACCGAGAACCGCTACCAGCTAGGACCGCTAACCGTGCATCCAGGGCCGCTGTCACCACCCATGCATTGCAAGCACACACACCTACCCCGCCTTGCAGCAGTCAAGCAACATGATAAAACACCAATACTACCGAAACCACAATAAGTGCCCCGCTACACACAAGGGAGACAGAATACGAAAGAAAGAAAAGAGGAAAAAAGACGAAGCGAGCAACCAGATGGGAACACGCAAGCGAGGGAGAAGGAACCAGCAGCCGACACCCGACTCCCCTTCGAAGCGTTTCCATGGCAACCCAACTAACCTCGCATTTTAAGTGTGAAAATTTTTCGTGGACCGCCATTAGTTGTTCTGCACCCAGATCAATGCGAACCACTGTTCACGATCACCCCACGTTCCGCCGAAACGCGCGACACAACAAATCCACCGACCAACAGCGACAACAAAGAGGTCACCACAACGCTCCCAGCGGTAGATACCACGGCGATAACACCGAAAGATCCACTCCGGAAACTCCACCTACGGCGCCCGGACAAAACCTGCACAAATGACGAATCCGTTGGTATAAACGTAATATAAATGTCAGATACAACCCACAAAGCAATGCGATAGAGTTCATTGACTAGAAGAAGGAACTACACACATAACCAACCAGCATCACCGAACACCCTACGAAATAAAATGCTTTCATATATATCCGAATACGTACAATGAAATGTAATTTATTTTCCAAAAAAAAAGCAACAAAATGTACCTTTGCCACGAACTTAAAATTATATAGGCTAGGTGAATTATGTACAAAAAAAAAATTTCCAAAATAACCCACTGGGAAAATAGGTAAGCACCTTGCGAGGTAAGCCATGTTTTCTTTCAGTTTTTAGTACCAAAATTGTCATCATGGCCAATGTCATCTACTAGTAAAGGGCAAAATGAACACCTCCGAAGACACATTACGTTGTCAGTTGCAAAATAACGTGCAGCCGAAGTTATTTCCAAGCACCGAACTACTCCGAGCGACTGCTCTGCATTACACGTAACTTACTTTGTAAAGCGGCTCAGAAGTATATCTGATACCAAATGTACATTCTAAATTCCTACATACATAAGGCGGCCATGCCTTTGTAAAAGTAAGGGACGTTCGGCAGGGAAATGGTAATGACTGCCAGGTGAAGAGTAAGTTGCTAATAAGGTATTATTACGTGCTCCTAATTCCCACTGGGAAAGGTCATAACCCACACACACCGGCAGAGCCTTTACCGAGCTCCCCTACGCTACACTACCAGACATTTGTACATACGTACATATCTACTTACATACATACATACGTACAACCATACATACATACATACAACCATACATACATGCATACAACCATACATACATATTTACAATCGCACGCAGCATCTTCATTATACCCATACACCTATACGTATGGACACCCTGTAGGGAAACCCCGAACTAGTGAACGAAATTTTTAGTTCCGTACTAGATCTTTATCGCCAAAAACGAACCAGTCCGATAGTAACTAGATCGCCACCAGTTCAAAAGCAGCGATATGTGGTACTTTTAAAAAACAATTTTAGAAATCTATATCTAATATGACGAATTTAGAACTGGTTCAAAACTCTAGAAAAAGGGATGCAGAACGAACTAGATCTCATCTGGCGAATTTTGAACTATTTCGAAACTATTGAAAAAGGGATGCAGCGGGGGGCTTGTTTACTTTAAATAGATTTTTGCTTGGCGGGTTTTTCGTTCAAATACGCTTTCAGTCTGCACGTCGCAGATGCTTTTTCATAGTTTGGCAATACAAAACTAATATTTGTGTTAGCATCTTAACATTTTGGGACCTTCTGGAATATAACCAATAACAGTCAGCACCTCTGCAAATTCAGCTACAACCAAAGGTATGTAAACGTTTTTTCAAATGTACAATTTAATTTACATTCATTCAAACAAATTTGATTTCAGATTGAAAATACATTTCTCTGCAAATAATTGAAATTTTCTACCATGGTAACCCAAATAGAAAACATGTTGTTACTTTTTTCGTTTACAACTGGTTCGAAACTATAGAAAATGGGGTGCAAAGCGAACTAGATCCCATATGTCGAATTTAGGACTGGTTCTGAACTATAGAAAGGGTAATGCAGCGGGGGACAATTTCCAATTCCTATGACATCGCTGTGTTAAATTCGCCAGTTGTTTGCATGCAAAAGAGATTTATCGCGAACTAGTAATGGTTCTAAATGTACTAGAAGCGCAACAATTCAAAACTAGAGATTTTCCCTACAGGGCAGTCAAAGCGAAGCACGGAAAACTACACAGCAACTGCAAGCACTCCTGCACGCCAACACTGCACGAGAATTCGTTGCGTAAGCATGCCAAAGAATTGCGATCTTCATTCGCTTCTCAACCTGCTTATTCAACATCCGACTTAAGTTGATTAACGCTAGCACCAGCTTCCGCAGGTAAGCACAGAGCGTATCGCGAGACTTAGGCCATAAAACCCCGAGCGCCCCTGGCTCTTCCTACGGGAAAGGCCGAGAGGGTGAAGGGGTCTGTAAAAGGGGGAACACACCTCGCACAGACCCCAAACCCATCATTTTGCAAACGGCCTCAGTGGACAGGAGACAAAACCTGACCACTTAGACAACCGCGAAGCGAGCAGGCACTGTGCCGAGGCGGGTAAACACGCCCCACAATGCCAACCAGCCACGATTTAATACACTAGAGGGGGTAATGGGCTGCCTTTCCGCCCTGGGGCCATACTAACCAGCTGCCGTAGCTTTTGCAGGTGACCGTTCGGACCGCCAACACTACCTGCCGCCCCTGGGCCAAAGTCACGACCGAGTACCGCTACCAGCTAGGACCGCTAACCGTGCCATCAGCATCCAGGGCCGCTGTCAATGCCATTACTTACCTGGGCCGAGTACCATCTTCGCGGTCACCGGGCCGCCGAAATCACTGCGGCCCCTAGGCCGAAGCCGATGCTAAGCGCCGCCACCTTCCAGGACCACTGGCCTTACCATCGTCATCCAGGGCCGCCACCGCCACCACCGATTAGGGTCGAGCTATCACCTTCGCCATCATCAGGGCCGCCGACGCCATTTGCCGTCCCTAGGCCAAACCGCTACCGAGGACCGCTACGTGCTGGCTGTAAGGGCCACTACCATCATCGCCATCCAGGACCGCCATCACCGCCGTACTAATCATGGCCGAAGTTATCATCTTCGTCAAACAGCTGGGCCACTAACGCTCTCACCGCCCTGGGCCTATTTGGGTCACCGTTAACATCACCGCAGGGCCGTCAGTGCTACAAGTGACTACTACTGCCGTCACGATCAGCATCGCCGCTCTCATTGGCTGCAGTACCCGTGCTGTGGGCGTTTACCATTACGCTTGCTACCGCTCTCACTGTCGTCATCATTAATCACCGAACCGTCTCAGCTCTCACTGTAATCATCATTAATCACCAGACCGTCACCGCTCTCACCGTCACCGTCACTAGCCACGAGACAGTCTCCGCCCTCTGAACCACGACGCCGACCGCCGACCAGTGAGTCTCTCTCCCTCTCAGTATCTCCCTCTCTCTTCTTGGACGTCAAGGTGCCGGCATTCTGGCCGAACAGCCGCCTGTGTGTCGTTGTGTTCGCTACATTAAACTACTGTATATATTTTATTCAGTGGGGGTTAGTGGGACCTCCGCCCAATCCTGGAGCGGCTGACCTACCTCAGCCTTCGATAAAACCCACCTCATAAAGGCCATAAAATAACAAAAACAAATAACTTAAGGACGAGCACACCTAAAAGTTACACATTCTAAAAATAGAATTATTAGCAAAAACCAACAAAACCAACAAGCACATGATCAAGTAAATTGCAGCGGAACAGCGGCGCTTGATTGTGTTGGCTTAACAAATGAAAGAGTGGAAAAAAGCAAGAATAATTTACAAGGCGAGATTAGTACAGTGCGTAGGCAACTGGCTGAGTCAGTGGGATCGTCGGTTCGAATCCTACTGAAAGAATTCTGATGAGGAAATCTGGTGATTTCCGAAACAGCTATCACTTCTACAATTTTTTCACGTTATTGTTGCTTTTCCACAATAAGTTTTTCATTAAAAACGGCCTCAAGCTCATTAAAAATTGTTGAATACAATAGTTTCTTTTTATAAATATACAAATCGTCACCTGAAACGCAAAAATACGTAACAAACATAATCGTTGAAATGCAAAAAGCCATAACTAAATATAAATAAATAATTCAAAATTCACTTTTTGATTTATATGATGGATTGCATCGGATTACAACTCCCCACATCATTTTATAAAAAAAAAATTAAAATATTAGTCACGACTTTTTCCATTTCTTTTACGATGTAGTTACGTCTCTTTGCATTTCAGATGACGAAATAATCATAGCCTTAAAACTCACCTAAATTGTATTTGTCAAAAAATAAGGTATGTTGGTAGTTCCGAGAAAATTTTCTTATATCTAGTTTAAATTTTGTAGAGATATCGTCATTCAGTAATAAGCTTTGAACTGCAATATTGACCGGAGAAGATGATTTAGCCAGATTTGTTAAATGAGACCACACGAAAGAACCAACTTGATTTATTTCCTCCATTTTTAAAACATTCTTTATTTTATTAATTGAAAAGTGATCGGGGCAAATCATTGCCTGTAAATAAGCTGCGATGCGTACTTCTGAATTAATAGTAAAATTTTCGTAAACGTCTAAAAAAAATGAACGATATTTTTCGCAGTTCGATCGCCTAAATGCGAAAATTGCTTCTAAACGTATACTAAGTGGTGGAAAATTTTCCGGTATGATTTTCTGCAGCTGCTCAACAAAATGTTCTGATAGTATTCCGATATTTCCAAGCCCTTTTAGAATCGCAATCATTCGTTTATATAAACGCAGCTCGCCGCGGAACGTGTTGAAAATTTGAATAAAGTCTGATTCAAGAGACTGTATAATCCATTTAACACGCATATTCTGCCCACACTCAGCATTATATCGGCAGTAGCTATGTATAACCGAGGAGGCACTCAAAGTATATTCTGGCTCAGCTTTGCTTCGAGAGAACTCAAGAATAGTATAAAAAGTTTCAACTGTATCCTCATCGGGTCGTTGAATAAATGATAATGTCTTAAGCCAATTTACAGCCATTTTTTTAGATACACTATCTGTCAGAAGTAGGTCGCGCATGAGTTGATAAGAAGCCGTGCTTCCAATATGAGGTAACGCATCTAAAACATGGTTTCTGAAAAAGAAGAATTGCATTCGTTATCTAAGTAGTAATAGTAATGGTTTTTGGGTTTCGGTCTACTATCGATAGTTTTTAACACTATTGATGCTATCGAAAAATTACCACTCTTTTGAGCCATTTTCCAAGCAGTGACAATTTTGTGGCTAATAAATTTGTTATACGGGTAAGTATTTTGAGAATAAAATGATATATTTTCTAAAGTATTGCGTGAAAATATGTCAATATGTATATAGTTGTAGTTTATTTTGGAAAACAGCTCTAAATCTTGGCAAAAACGAATGGCTATTGTGATTTTTAAAATATGCAATTTAATGTTTAATAGTTATAACTATTGAACTGATCCCTTAATAAAACAAATCGAGCCTTAAATTTGTCAAATGTTTTTAGTGTTTGAAACATTCATTATTTTATGTTATATAACAAAAATGGATTTCTTATGGAATGTATACATACATACATAATTACACAAGTTTAAAACTAAGGTTCTTGGTGAAATAATAAAAATTTGTTTTGAGTTTTTGAAAATATTATTGGGCCTTTGGGTTTCGACGTCGATGTAATTTTTTCAACAAAAAATAGCCCTCGGAAGTCCAACTGCAGCTACGTTGACCACAGTATTTTTGAGGAAAGGAGTTCTTCCTGGGGTATGCGAAAACCATAATAGGGCCGATTATGTTCTTTGTAAATTTTTTTGGGTATTGATTACTGTACACTTATAGAAATAAAAGAAAATATGCCTGATATATAATAAAAAAGTTTCGATGGTAGCAATAGTATCGATAGTGCAGCTAAACTATCGCAAACTATCGAGGTGACCCATTATCGATAGTTTGACAGCTCTAGTTTTTAGTTTTTCACTACGACGTCAGTAATTAAAAATGATTTAAAAAATTCAGTGAAATGTGCTTAGAGAAGAAGTATGGGTATCAAATTAAAGAGGAAATTCTGTAGAATTTAATCAGATTCAATTTTTTAGTGCATAAGGACTGGTAAGTATTGAAAATGTCCTTTTAAAATTTATCTTTAAAATATTGCAATATTTGTTTTTGAAAAAAATAAATGTTAGGGACTTAAATAAACTCGATAACATCCTCGAATTTCGTCCTTCTAACTTTATTAGCTAAAAAAAATTACCTATTTGTCCTTGTGAATCCAAAAAATTTTAATTTTAAATTCTAAAGAAATTTCCTCTTTCATTTGGTACACATATTTTTATTCTGCATTGCATTAAATTTTCTAAATAATTTCTGGAATTAATCATATCTTTAAAATTACAAAGTCCTTTAAAATAAATCCTGACGTCAGAGAGGAAAAATAAAAACGCCACTTTAAATTAAAAAGAAGGTTTCAAATCCATTTATTTATTATTTATTTTATGGTAGGAGAGATAGAAGCAATTCTTTTCGATTTAAGTTGTTGAAAGGCAATAAATCCCGGGATTAAGATAACGACATCCCGAAAATCCCGGAATCGTAAAAATTAACATCCCTAGTTGTTGTTTTTGTTGTAGCGGCTACAACAACCCCGCCCAGATCGGTTAATACCTCAGTCGTTGTCGTCAGGTTCCACTAGCGGCAGCCCTAAGAAGCGTGCAGCCTCAATAGGGTCGGTCCACAGGGACAAAGGCGTTAGGGTTGTCGGATTTTCCGGGCATGTTTCGAGTCGTGAGGGGTCTCTCCGCATGCCGGATACTCATTTGGCACATCCGCGTTTAGTCTGCTCAGGTATGAGTCTAACCTGCTGCAGTAGCCAGAGCGAAGTTGGGCTAACATCCCTAGTATACATCCTTGGTTTCGGTAGGGGTAAAATTTGCGAAGCTGTAACGCATAGCCCAGCAGAAAATTTTCAAGGGCCAGCATGTTTACTGCAGCAGAATATTAATCTTCATATTAATGTGACAGTCAACAAGGCTAAAGGTGTACTTGCATTTGTGAAACGATGGTCAAAAGAATTTAGTGACCCTTATATCACTAAAACCCTGTTTACAACATTAGTTATACGGATTCTGGAATACGGTTCGGTGGTTTGGAATCCTTGATACCTTGGATACAAGATAGAATCAATTCAAAAACAATTCCTACTTTCTGCTACACCTTCCGCCTTATACGAGCCGATTAAAACTTATTAATCTTCCTACACTTGTCAGTCGCAAGGAAATGCTTGGTACAATTTTTATGGTTAAATTACTGACAGGCTCAATTTCATTTCCGCTTTTTCTCGGTGAAGTTAGCCTAAGGTGACCAGCATTTTTTAGCATTCCAGCACATAAATAACGAATAAGTTAACATTGTTAAAAGAAGCAAAAACAATTGGAAGTTACTCTAAACACAAGTCAAACAAAATAATAGTACACTGCGTTGTATAATTATAAGACTGAAACATATTTCCGTTGATTTTTGGCTATTTCTTTTTTGTTGACAGTGTTGTTAATTTTCTTACATATAAAAAGATTTCGAACATACTTTGTATGGAAGAAAATGGGTGACACCGTAAAAAAATGCCAAAAATCAACGTTATTTTGTAGACATATGAAACTCGCACTTTATTATACTAAAAAAAAAAAATAAAATAAATAATATAAAAATAAATAACCGTTTTATATTGGATTAAACAGGCTTCCGAAAACTAATTTTTCCACGTTCCAATAAATAAGTTATTTTTTTTTAATATCTAGATTAGGGCTGCCAGACGTCCTGGTTTCCTGGTGTCCGGAGTTAGACAAATTGTCCTGGTGTCCTGGTCCACACTTAAATCGTCCTGATTTTTTAATGAAGGTCAATGCAGACACTCCTCTAATTTTTAGCAGATTTTTGCTATGAAAAAAAATGTTAAGCCTTCTGTCATTAGTTGTGGAAAACTGATAACAAAACGTTTTTACTAACATGTTGAATATCTTCTTACTGTTTAGTTTATTTGATTAAAATCTTTTTTTTTCAGGCGAATGCAAGTGCAAGTTCCTGACCAGGTACACGACTGAGGGGTCATACATAAATACTACCCAGTAGGTAATATCAAGAGCTATACTCTTATGCAAAAGGCCTTTCTGAAAGTTACTCCTCTCTCCTTCATTTTTTGTATGGAGCGGCACAAATTGAAGGGCTTCTGTCTTCGCTACTCAAAAAAGAGCTTTCGGAAGGGCTTTTGTAGGAAGTTCTTTCAAAGTTTTTCTTAATTTATAAAAATCATACTTCTTTAAGGAATTTATTTAAGGTTCATATCAAATAGTTTTATTTAGACTTGCCATGCCTATTAAATCTCATTTGTAATGCTAAGTAATATAAACATACACTTAAGTATATTCGCGTAAATTGTAAAAAGGAAACAGCTTTCTAAGAAGCATGCACGGAAGCACTTTTTTCAGTCGTTGTTGGGTAAGTCTTTTACAATGGCTTCACTTAAGACAGCTTACCTAAATTATCTTCAGGCTATGCATATACAAATTGTCAAAAATGATCATGCAGTGCGCTGTAGGATATGCGGAAATTAGCTTATGGTGGTTGGGCAAACATTCAAGACCACGTTAAAAGTTACGTCACAGTCAAGATAAATTTGTTCTTTTATTATTGAAAATTCAGAACTTGACCATTTCATCATCATCAAGCATTCTGCCAATATTCATCTAGGTTGTACCAAATCGTTAATTTAGTTGAAGGGTTTGGTAAATACTAATAACGATTTTTTTGAAGCATATTTCTACAAATTCCATTCAACTTAACGTATTGTTCATAAAAGGATGTCATTAAGCTCTGCTAATACAGATAAGCTTTCTTTCAACACATGGTTTAGTCATAGTTACCAAATCTTAGTAGAGGCAACCACGATTTGGTTTGAGAGCGGAACATATTCATGCTTGTGAGCCACCCCTAAATAATGCAGAGCGCGCTCTGAGCACATGTGAGTTTCACATACGGAGAGCACCAACTGAGCAATGCACACAGTCCCACTTATTGAATCGTTTGATCGGCCTAGTATGCCGACCATTGCATAAAAACGGTTCAATGAGTGAGACTGTGTGCGTGGAAATCATTGCTCCGCTACCGCTGTTCGCATATGGGTGAAACACAGAGCGCTCAGTAAGCTATGGCATGTCGATCACTGCGCTAGGTAGAGAAAGAAAAGTGTGTGCTGCTATGACATGCCCAGATTTGTTTGTCTCAGTTTCAGTTTTGCCATCGCCGCGAGTTGTTTCGGTGTGCGCATAGTTAGTGTGTCCAACTGTACATAACTGACACGTACAGTACCTAAATTTGTAGCCATGTACCGTGTACCGAAGCTAACCACAAAATCACGAAAATGTACGTAAATTTTATCGATAGGAGCGCCCAACATACATACGTACATGCAAATTTTGACTAATAAAAACTAAAAATATTATAATGAATCAGTTGATGGAAAGTGTAAACACCTCATTAAAAAATCGTCAAAATGACGATAAAATCCGCAACACTGACAACGCTGTCTGCTGAATACTAGTTTTTCTTGTGTCCGTTAAGGGTGGGTAACTCAGAAAATTTATAGTAGTTGACTCAATGACTCCAACTCACTTTAGGGAGTCAGTTCATTCAACTAACTCATTTGACTCTTTGTATACAGTATATTTTGCTTAGCTGCACATCCTTCTTTGCACGAAAAACTTGTGCACTTAACCGAAAAAGGCACTTTTGCTTTACTACTTCAATGGGGAAGGTATCCAAGTCCCTATGAAAGCAAATAATGGAGAAGTACTTACCACGTAGAAATTACTGCAAGCGAAATTTTTACCGAATAGTATCTAATTATCTATATAACTACATAAATTTATAGCCATTTTCGTTGTTCTGCGGGATGAACAAAATAAATAAAAAGTTGTAAAAATAGGTAATTGTAGGGCCAGTGCAGTTAAACGTAATACTTTCTTTGATAATTGATACTAGTCGCATATTTTTTAAGGCAGGTATCGCCAATGTGCAGGTATGCTAAATGCTTCTATCGGAGCAGTTTCCTTATAAATGTTAAAAATAATGCCTCTGATGCGCATTTTGGGGTAGGTATCTTAAATGTGCACTTAAGCCTAGAGGCAGCAAAGCAAAATATACTGTATTACACTAATTCGTGTCATAGACTCGTTTTGAGGCAAAACAAAAATTAAAAGTGGGCGTGGTCAGCTCCCTTCTACTGATTTGAAAGGTGTACATTTTTTTGGTGCAAACTAAAAGGGTCAGTTCTAGGGGGAGCGTAAAGGTGGAATTTTCAGTATTTCCAA